TGCTCTGAGTCCTCCACACATCCTTCTCTTCTCCAGGCTGAACAGCCCCAACTCCCTCAGCCTGTCCTCACAGGGGAGATGCTTCAGTCCTTTTATCAACTTCGTGGCCTCCTCTGGACTTACCCCAACAGTTCCATGTCCTTCTTATGTTGAGGGCACCAGAACTGTGTGCAGGATTCCAGGTGGGATCTCACGAGAGCAGATGGGAAGAATCACCTCCCTTGACCTGCTGCCCACACTCCTTTGGATGCAGCCCAGGATATCCTGCATTTCACAGCATTCTTCAATCAACCTATATTAGAATTCAATAAACTTGTATTATACACTATTAAACCTATATAATAACTATGGTCTAATTACTTATAAGTATATATTACTTATAAGTATAATATAGGTTTATACCTGTAACTTTTAATCACAACTGTGGTCTCTAATGTCAATGATCTTGTTTATATTGCTTGTATAAATGTGTGTCTATAACTCTTGATATAACTCTTATAACTCTTGATTACTTTTATAAACTGAATGTTTGTGATAATAGCTGTAAGAGAAGGGAACTCAAAAGGGAAACTTTGGGATTTGGGTTTGGTTTTTTTTAAAAGAACTTTCAAGGAAAGTTCCAAGGCCAAATCACAGACCTATACTTGTGGGTTTTTTAAGCAGGTGCTCCATGAGCAAACATTCTTTGCTCCCTAACAATGTGGAGATTCCCAGGGAGGTTAACAGGAGATGCCCAGGGAACACCTAACATGGAAGTGCTTAGGGGCTACTAACTGGTAGGCAGGGAATGGAGTCCTGCCCTGCAGAGCAGTGAGGAAACATCTCCACTCTATTTGCTTGTCCAGGGAAGGAGAACTCAGCAGGGCAAAACGAGATGGGAGGGAACTGGGATGGGAATGTGCTGCCCAGAGGTGTTGGAATCAGCATCCCTGACGGTGTTTCAGGACAGATTTAGTCTTTGGCCTTATTGACCAGGTGGTGATGGGTCACAAGTTGGATGATCCCAAAGCTCTTTCCCAGCCTCACTGAGCCTGCGACTCTTTACCCCCGGCACTGCCACATTGCTCTGCTGGGGCATCCCCTAGTGTGGGGACAGCCAGGGGCACCTCCTGAGCCTGGGCATGGACGGAGGACAAACAAGCGACCCCTTTGCAGAGACACCCACAGAAACGGGGGGGAACTGAGGGGGTTTGGCCGCGCCTCGGGCCACAGCGCACTGCCCGCCATGGCCGAGGGCACCTCCTT